TCCACCATCAATAACCCCACTTCCTACGTCCCGTTCACACGCAATTCTCGTTTGAAGTTTTGACTTCACCATCAGTAAGATCTTGTCGGTCGATACCATATCCCTTTGTATGTACCCGCTTCCGACGTCCTGTTCACCCGCAATTCACACTTTGGTGGATTTAGCTAAAAACCCACCATAAAATACCACTCAATTTTTTGGGCACTTCTCATAGCTCGAGTTTCTATTGGCTACACGAGAGAGAGAGAGACTGCGATTCAAGGTTTAAGAAACTTTTGGGCGCCCAACGTTGACTACCTCCCGAAAACGCGCGCCTTACAAAAGGTGGTTAATTTCGATCCTTCGAAAAAAAAACAAAATTCCGTCGCGCAGGAGGTGTGCGTGTTTGCAAGATGTTTCCGACGACACCAATTTGAAAACAGTCGTACCAAAACTGTAGCAGAAGATAGGGAAACACTTAAAAATCTCCACGTTAGTGCACATCGTGTAGCCCCGTTCCTAAAGTTGTTAATTACACGGGTCCTGGTATATATATGTGCAGTCCTCGTCTTCCTACAAGCGTTCTTATATGGACCCGCATTTGCGGCCAGCCAGACAGCCAACCGGCCAGTGGGGCAACGACAGATTACGAGCTACCTTTTTAGAAATAAATTTGGAAAAATGCGCTAAAAAATAGGCAATTTGAAGGATTGTACTGGGCGTGATTATGTGCATCCCCTCCCCTTACCCGTAATATACTGCTGATTGCGCGTTATTTTTCACAGAACGATCGAGTGAACTTCACCATCCCAGAGCCACTTAAAGCAACAGTAGCAGTTCCAACCGAAACAAGTTAGAGCGAGGCTAGCGAAGGGGTCCCTGTTACACACCGCGTAACCGAACCAAAAGAATGAACGAGCCAAGTCACATGAACCACCTGCCATAAGGCAAGTTAAGTTTTCTGAAAATGACCCACAGATTCCTGCGAGCGTTGGCATCAATGGAGCTACTGGTAAGACAACTAAGCGAAACATCCCTACCACCTACAGCACCCACACGACTTCACTGACACCACCGGCACATGCACGACGCTCGTCGTCGCCAGCACTACCTACGCCTACGCCTCCGCCCTGGCACTGGATCTGCCAGATCTTCCTCCTTAAGCTCCACCTCGTCGTTCAATTCGGCTGAATCTGGTTCAACCAGAACTTTCTCTGCTTACCCTTGCTTGACAGTCTCATCTTCCACCTCAGTGTGGATCTCTAGAGTCAAGAATTTCAAATGCTTGGACGACGGACGTCCACATCGTGTGCTTGCTTGGGAGCCAGACTCGATAACCATCATCACCTTCGTACCCAACCAGTCTGCCCTCGATCCCGTTTGCCTGCATCTTCCTGCGTTGCGTCCGATCATCAAGTACAAAGCATGATGTTCCAAATGGTCGCATATGTTGCACCGTATGTCTCTGATCGGTCCACAGCTCTAACGGTTGTTTGCGCCCTTGATTTGAGATGCTGCTGCCCGATTTAGAGTGTATGCTGCCGTGACCACTGCCTCATCTCACAGAAACTCTGGCAGACCCGACCCGTGCAGCTTCTTGCGCCGTCCGATTCTCACCCTCAACCAACCCATTCTGTTGAGGAGTGTACGGTATCACAATCCTGTGCTCGATTTCCTCGGCACTCACCAGTTGTCGCACCTTCTGGTTATCAAGCCATCCGTCTGAAGCTCCTTGATGGCATGCTGAAGTGCCTTTGCCCGGGCGATGAACGTGGTCAGGTGTTCCACCAACTGGTCCTTTGACTTCATCAAGTATACCAGTCTGTAAGTGGAGAACTCATCCTTGAAAACTGCAAAGAATCTCGATCCTCCTCTGGCAACTGGCTCGATTGGTCCACAGACATCCGCATGAACTCGGTCTCCTGGAGCAGTAACATCCTTCATCCTCCTTCCGAAACTGACTCGATGGAATTTCCCTTTCAGCAACCTTCGCAGTCACTGCAATCATCATCTATGTCTCGGATATTCACTCCTTCGTCCCTCATCAACTGGAGCAAGTCCTTCTTGTTAAGATGTACCACATCCTCAAGCTCTCCCTCAGCAAAGTTTGTTCATGGTTGATCATTACAGCTGGCATCTTGACCCCGAAGTCGCTCATCTCACACATCGAGTTCACCATTTTCCCCGCCAAGTACCTCTCTCCCATCGGAAATCCTTGCCTGTTCTTCTTGTAAAAGTCCCACCGCTTACTATCTCCCAGCTGGTACATCTCAACAAACTTATTCAGGATCATCCGTACTGAGATGAGGTTGACACGGAACTCTGGAGCGAACCGCATGAGCATTATCCAGTTGTGTGTCTGTCCATCACAGGTCACAACCATTTCTACTGTTCCCATACCCACTGCATGACTGATTTCATCGCCCACCGTCACCGACTTTGGTTCGCTGAACGCTCTGGTTGGGTGTCCCACAGATCCAAGAAATCTATGTACCGCTGCTGAGGCAGACTGTTCACCCGTTCAATAGAAAGTCTGGTAGAACAACCATCTTCTCCTGTTTACTTGCAATCTGTAGTTCCATCCAGGTTGACTGCACCATTGCTGCGTGAGTGGTTACGTCCTCTTCATCTGACTTCTTCAGCGTCACCAGCTTAATCAGCAATCAGCAGAATCGATCACAGGCAGTGTCTAGCCATTGCAGCCTTCTTCTGGTACTTGGCAAGCTTCTTGGTATCCTCTGCAATCGCTGCTGCATCCGATTGCGCTTCCAGACTCGGTTTTATGACAGACTCCTCAATAGCATCAGCCACATCGGCGAATATCCTCAATTGACATCTTCCACTCGCTCTAAAGCTCAACTATCTTTTTCATATTGACTGAATTTCTACGTGAACTCAGCACTCGACAAAATTTTACCGACGTTACAAGCCCATAACCTGTTGTAATCACCAGATTCCAAACAAAATGCGACAGAAGAATTGGTACAATATCGAGGCTTCTTTAATTCAAAGTTAAAAGCAAGATTCAGTTGAGATTTTAATATTTGCCTATTGTCAAAAATTACAAGTCAACACTCATTATTAAGGATTCTCAGATCCTTTATAGTTTTGTGTTGTCGTCCGTCCGTCCGTGTGCGCTCTAACTCTTTTTAAAAGTGGCCGATTGTATTGAAATTTGGTGTACGGGTACTTTTATACCCTATGACTGTTAGATGTGTAACATATAACTCTTCTCTGTAGTATAGATCAAAAGTTTTAGAGAAAAATGTACCCAAAATTATTCTTTACACATGAATTTGGAGTTTTAAAAGCTTTCAAACGCATTATCTTGATGCCGAAAGAGTACACCACGTGCACATTTGATCACCGCATGTGTGTGATTCAAAGATGTTAAATTCTTTTTCTGAGGTCACATGGGTTTTGATCAAAATATGTCAAAATCGCTATTTATGCACCAAGATCGTTGGGAAAAAGACCAAGAGCATTATCTTAATGACCAAAACATGAATTTGATCTACTTTTGGCGACTACATGAATTTTGATCAAAATACGGATACCGTTTTTCCTGTTCCGCGAGATTTTGGTATACGACAAGAGCGATTTACTACACCTAACTGATCCAACAGAAAATGGACCCTAAAGAATATCGTCTGTTTACCAACAGAGTTCACCTTAAACATAAGTGAGAGACTAGTTTTTCTGGGTCAGCACGTAGATAATTCCCCTACTCACATCCAATAGGAAATTGAACATTCTACAGGAGTCAATAACCACCTACGTTGTGATGGAGAACTGGATGTTTGGTTCCGCAACCAATTAATCAAGGAAATCGTGTCCAGCTATATCAGCTAACGTTTTTTGAGTGAAATGTGATTTTATAGCTACCTTCAAGATAGGGCACAAAAATCGCTGAACGACTACGTCGGCATCATTGATCTTTTAAGTGACTGGACTTGCACCATCCATTAAAGTAATCTGGTCAACTGTCCTTCGGTTTAATTGGTATTAAACAATCGTCAAGAACGATTTCTGTATTCAAAACTGATTCAAGTGCTTTTTAGCCTGAAACCGTCTTTTGCGGGATTAGCAATAATCGACGGCAGAGGACTAGCCGAGATCTCTTTGGAAATTATAAAACAGCCAGAATAATGCGCAACGGCACTGTTTCATTTGTTCTACCAGAATTGTCTACATTTCATCTCATTTGCCCAGCCCACGCAAGACGTTCGGTATCGAATTCAATCAGACTGAAAACTTTGAAATTTTGATACATAACATAACAAAAGCTAGTGTTGGCACTAGTAAGTTTTTATGTCTCAAGAACCCCTCGCAGAAAAGTGCCCCGATTCCGCAATACGGATACTGACTAATTATTCCCCATATATTTCCATCTTTTTAATTTCATGTTTCCGCAGTGTCTGAATTTAACATAATTATTTAAAAATTTTGTTTGAAAGTTGGTAAGAGTTCTACGGTGGCGCTACTAGGGAGATATGAAACCACAGAACACATGAATTGCACCTTTTAAATCGGAAAAGCTCGCGACTTTCGCAAAGGTTGCGTTCTGTGTAGATTCGATGATCACTTCATGCAAATAATGCAAGGAAGGGGATCTGCGTTTGTGCGATACGTTCAATTTTTCGAAGCGCGCTATTTGGAAAATATTGTACAGTGGCGTACTCTAACAGAATTGTGTCTTACTGAAAGTGGGTAGTTATTGTCGTGGGCATTGGCAAACTAAATTATTGATCTGCGCCGACATGAAAGAGTCCGTAGAAGCATATACAACGGCAGCGTCTCTATGACTACGCTTTCCGCAACATTACTGACCTTATGACGTCACGAACGCGCCATCATGTCGCGCTGGAAAGGGTTAGGGACAGGTGTGACAGCTATGCGCATGCGTAACGAGAAAAAGCTCCGACGCGTGCGCATGAGAATTTTGAATGCGAAAACTCTGCAGAGCGCGCCAAATACGGTGGTTTCAGTTCTATTGCTGATCGTTCCCCCTGAAACATTTAACCTAGACTTTTTCTTTTATATTTAGTAATACGGTGGTTTGTTCTTTAATCATTTCGTGTGTACGTTAATTTTGTAGCCCATGCTTTTGCATAATTAAAAAGTCTGCAGGAAACGTCGTAACGGAGACGCAAAGTATCCCCTCCATAGTCTTCCCAGCGATCCGTGCGACAAGATGGATGTTGCACTGTAAAGAAAATGGCGATCGCACAAGAGATTGGGATGCAGCTGGGGGCGCGGGCCCACGTGTGATTCGAGAAATGTCCCCCAGCAGCAATCGCGAACGTGAGTGTAAACCGGCGTGTACTTTGTTTTCGTCCCAAAGCTGCAAGAATATACGCAACGTTGTGTCCTACAACTAGCAATAAATGAAGACTAATATCCCACATGATTTTTCAGGGACATATACTCATAACAAAGAAAGTTGATGTAAGTAGAGTGGCTTTATACCCCACAAGGTGATAGATCCTAGTGGAACTAACGCCTCGCTTTTGCTGCTAACTTTTGTGGGTCATTCCTTGATATCGATTTGTTCTGTCGCATAGGGGTGACTGTAAGGTCCGTTCACAATCCCTCCCGAGCTTATCACTTTTACTAGCAAGGCAATCTAACCACCCGCACATATAAACTGCTTTAGTATTTTGCCGTATCTGCAGTGCTTTCGCTGTTGTGCATCGTACATTGTCCATGAAACCGCCTGTCTTCAATGTTAGAAAAGGTGCCATGTGATTATTCCTACAAACCTCAATGCAGGTGGGTTTCTTATCAAACTATTTAGTTCTAAGTACTTCATTCATTCTTGCCTCTCATTAATCACCGCAATTGTAAGTGTACGTAGAGGAAAATTAACTCAATGGAAAACCAGAGTTGCACTCGCTTTTGCGACTTTCCAAAGTTAACAACAGAAATTTCATTGCAAGGTCAGTTTGGGAAATTAAGAACTTGCAATTAAATACAATCCCTTTATATATAATAAGGAAATAGAAGTGCATGTAGATGTTTAACATATGACTTTAAAGTGCCCATAACCTGAAAGCCACGTTTTTGTGCGCTTATAGTAAATATGTTTCGGTAAACACTTTTCTGCTTTTCTTTGAAAACACAACAATCGGTTATCTAAACTTGTGACATTTGAATAGTAGCATTGATTGTAATGCTACAAAAGGACGTCAGGAAATATCGAACGTTGTTGTCAAACGAGAAGGAGATTCTAAACATTTGTTGTAGTATCGAAGAACAAATTAAGTAAGAGCCTCCCATAAAAAATTTTCATCTGAAGGATGAACACTTTGAACGGTTTTATACTTTTTCGGTGCGCATATAAACTTGACAGTCGTCGAACATAAATATACCAATAACTTTTAGTGCTCTCCATCATAAGCGTACTGGAAAACTTGTCACAGTGAAACTTGATACAGCATACTAGGCAGGTTTCGCTAAGCAATTAAAGATTTTCGCCTAGAATAATTATTATTGGAATCGCATAATAAAAGAACGTTTCACTAATCCCAAATTTCCTTTTCCACTTTGTAACAAACGGTTGGCGGTTATGCAACTGCAAAGGACTATCATCAATTCCATATTCAGGGTGAAATGAAGTAATTATCGTCAGGTGCACCTTGTACATTTCCATTTTTAAACATTAGTTGTGTGAGTAGTCTATTTTTAGAGGTTTAATTGGAGCCTCAACAATGTTTTGTTATTGATTCGGCTTAGGAACACCTTTGCACGCGTTAGCTCATACAGATTCTTAACTTTGCTAAAGCTCGAGTTTCATTGTAACACTTTCCTCGGTAGTGAGGTAGGTTGATACCTGCAACACTATTCTCCACGACTTCTTCGAGCAAGTATGCGCATGTTTCATCGTAAAGCGCAAAAATAAATATCTTGTTTCTAATCGTTGATGAAATTTCGGTGTTTCTGCAATTATATAGAAATATTTATGAGATCCTTCTGTTTTATGAAGTAGTAAACACGATATGCATAATTCACCCCCCTACTTGTTTTGGAATCCACATTTTTAAATAAGTCTGATGGTCAATTTGAAAAGTGGTGGCTTTAGGGTGGCTTACGTACCGTGCACAGTATTGGAATCTCACAGATCTTCAATGGCAAAGTAAAAAATAAAAATCCGTGGAATATGAAGAATTTTGTATATAAAATAGTACCAAGGAATTAACAAAACCGCTTCGATGGGCACTGAATCGAATTAAGTCTTTGCATCGTTAATTAAAAACATTAGCGATGGACACACTGTGACGTTACCACTCCATAATTGGGTACATCCGACACGTATTTTTACAAAGCTTTCCAAAAACGCGAGGTAGGAGAAATTGCTTCCCGTTTCCGATATTTTTCCACTGGCCACTTTCAAAATTAAGATAACCTCCGAGGGAGATTCGAAAGAGGTACAACCTCTATATTTGCAATAGTGCGAAATTGGGGGAGGGGAGCTTCGAAGCCTAGGTATGGATGCTTTGTTGCATTATTTTCTTGGAGAACGAGGTAAACATTAGATCATTGCGGATGTCTAAGTAGGGCATTTATCTTCACCGCTGTCAAGTGTTATGGAATAAGTCGACTATTGCAATACCGCGCTTTAGTCATTTACATATTTAATCAAAAGGGAGTTTACAACAGTAAATACCTCAATTTAAGAGCTCTTGTGTCCTGTTGCTCTATCCGCATTCAAATCGATTCATGCCATAGAATTTATACTTGAACATGAACTGTAGTGAAGCGCTCTCTTTATTACCGTGCCCTATTTGTACTTAGCCGCCTCTAGTACTCTCCAACTTTGACTGCCCAAATAAAATTATTCAACCCTGATCCGTCGTTTACGCTAATTTATCAATTATTAGGCAGGTGTCAGTGGTCTATTTCTGGCTTAGAACGTGTCTAAAATACATTGAACCTATTTTATGCCGCTACTGAAAATCAATATCTCTTCCGCTTTTCGGGATATATAGACTGCTTCATTCACGAGCTAACTTTTTACTTTGTAAATTAGCGTATTGATTTCATAAAATCCGCAACAATACATGGTGCGTGACTATTGCACTATGTAAGTACAGAATTTTGCGCGAACTAAATAATAAGCGTAACTCTCTCCAAGAGCCTTATGGGGAATTTTGTTTGCGTAGGTTTGAAGCGAGACAGTCTGATGAGTCAATACATCTTGTCATTCATTAATGCATTTTAGTACCATAAAACGTATAAGTTGGAAGCCTCCAACAATGCGTGAAATAAATGTAAATTTATACGTTCCCGTCATTCAGTGTTTCATTCTCCGAGCGGCATCCTCCGGATCGATATGATGTATTTGTGAAAATAAATTACAACACCAGAACTTCGCATACGTTCCCCAAACTTAAACTCAGTTTTCAGTACACCCTTTCATTACGAGACAATTTCAATTAAGGGAAAACAATACTTCGAAAGTTAGATTATCATTAATTTTACTTCAAGACCCGTAATCGTCATCGACCCTGATCCGAAAGAAATTTTTCTTCTGCCAGAGCTCCCACAACAAATTAAAGGGGCGATTGCTTTAATGAATACGTTATCCACCCGCCCACAGCGCCGAGTTATTGACTAAGAAGAAACACTCATTCAGGAACTGCACTCGTTCATTCTCAGAACTCCAAATCTCCCCATCTATCACGAAAATTTCCAGACCTTTTCGCGCTAACATAATACATTTACAAATTATTTTCCTTGCAGTATTTCACCCAAAACGCCAAAATTTTTTGGGTTGAAAAATTTGTGTCTTTTTTTTTAGTACTTACTTATTTTGTCTCATATCAATGCTTTACAATCAATCCTCCCTTAAATGAGATTTCGAAAAAGTACAATTCTGCTGGTCAGTGTAAAATTTTCGAAAGTAGGGGGTAGGTTCTGTTCTGATGATAATATGGGAGAGCAACTTTACGCAATTCGCATTGTGGTCGTTCAATTGATTGGTTTTGATGAGTTTTAAAATAAACTCCCAATATTAATTTGTATATAATTTTATAACTCAAACGGAGCGGACCGGAAACGACTCAAATATCACAACAATTTTCCCATTTGAAGAAGGAAACCAAACTATTACTTATAAGGCACCATAAGGTACATGCCATAAATAAGTGCCTAGGTGTTAATATTTTAAAGAAGTTTGAATTCAGAGAAGCAGATTCTTTGAAACTTCTCCAAACATGACTCTATTTTATAATACTGTCCTGCAACAGCAAGAGCGTAAAGGCGGCGTTCTAAGGAAAAATCTACTGGGGAGCGAATTTTTTTGGTTTTGAATTTTCTTAAACGGGGGAGAATATTTGTTTGGGGTTAAAATTCCAAGTATACGAGAGAGCAAATTTACCGGGGCCCAATTTCCTTGAGTGTAAATTGTTAGTGGGAGTGTGTTCCGATAATGGCCAACTCTTGTTGGTCGCAGGTGAATTTACTTAGGAACGAAAATTTCGAAGCGAATTTACCAAGCAAGGGAATGTTCAAGGAGCTTTCAAACCCATTTTGCAAAAGATTCTTAAGGCATAAAAATTACTTGATCAATTCTTCTAGAAATTTACCGCAACATTCTTTAGAGGATTCTTTCCAATTTCCTAAAATATCCCTCAGTGACGTTTTTTTACACTCTTTAATTTTTCGGAATATTGTTTCAGTAAGTCTGTATCTCTAACAAACTCATCCAGAGATTGTTTAAAACTTCAACCAGTTCTGCAAGATATTTTAAGAAACGTATCAAGAAAGCAAATTCAAGCAATTACCTCTTATGGCATTTTTTACGGTATTCGTTAAGAGAGCAGATTCTCTAAGGCAAGTTCTCAAACCGATTGTGAAAGTTATTCTGTTTGAGTAATTGTCCGTAGAAAAATGAGATGAAAAAGCTTATTTTCAGTTATCGCTGGTGTGGTCCATCAAATGGGGTTGAATTAAGTTGAAAAACTCCTCCATACTCGTTTATTATTTAAATAGAGCGAGTTGGTTGCTACATGTCTGCCCGTAAGTCATCATCAGGCGGTCAAGAACTTTTGAGCGATTTTTGATTGAGGCATCCGAGTATTTGCATAAATTTTAACTGTGGATTACATTTTTTATAGAGTGCAGCATGTTAAAACTGACAATTACGAAGTGATCTCGCCAATTGGAAAATAGTGAATTGTGAATTTAAGAAAGATTGAGGTGACGGGTATTAAGAGTATTAAAAAAAATCAATCAGTTCTGTTGCCTCGAAGGCTACGAAATATATCACCCCCCTAACGTTTATAAAAAATGAAATGGGATTTTATAGTACATATTACAATTGATTAACTGGTTTGGGAAAATGGGAGGCCGGTAATTTGGGAATACGTAAAATTGAAAAAAAATTGATCTAAGCAAATTTGGAGCAGTTGTAATGATAAGGAGCAATTATCACAAATGGAAGAATG